AAATAAGTTCAGAATACTTTTTAAATCTCATATCTCGATATTGCTACTGCAGGAGCATATTAGAGGCGTGAAAAGTGGTGAAAGTTTTCTCCAACATATCATAATCAGTAATATTATTACCACATAATTTCAACTGGGAAATAATTCTGAACATAGCAGAATTTTACTCACTTATAGATTTAAAATCTTGTAGCCTTAGATGAGTCCAATCATAATGTGCATGTGGAAGAACGACCATCTTCAGGTGGTCATATCTATCTTTCAAATTATTCCACAGTATGACTGATCTTTAACAGTAAGATATTCCATTTTCAGGCTCTCATCAAGGTGATGGCGTAGGAATATCATTGCTTTCGCACGGTCTTGGTTTGATGCCTGATTTTTATCCTTGATGGTGTCTATCAGACCCATCGCATCAAGATGAATTTCAGCATCAAGCACCCAAGACATGTAGCTTTTGCCCGATATATCCAGACTACAAATTCAAGTTTAGAAAGATTTGACATTATATAGAAAAAAAAAGTTCATGCCTCAGATAATTTCAAAGTATTTGCTCGAGATGACAGAGTCTCGTGCTGATAACGTATTATAAAATAAAGACTATAAAGTAAAGACAGGTATAGAGAGAAATTGATATATTATTCGACTTCAAACTCATGTACATAATGAACTGAAATCTCTTCTATTTATAGAAGAAAGAAAGCTGTTGTGTAAGCTGCTACTATACCAGATATGGATAATCTTCTACTGAGAGTAATGTTTATCCATAACGGAGTACTGAAAGGATAAGCTCATTGTACCAGGTATAGATGATCTTCTACTAGGGGTAATGTTTATCCATGACGGAGTAAAAAGATAAGTTCATTGTACCTAGTATGGATAATCTTCTACCGGATATAATATTTATCCATAACGGAGTATCGAAAGGATAAGCTTATTATACCCGGTATGGATAATATTTTACCAGGGGTAATATTTATCCATAATCGGGTACCAAATTGATAAGCTTCTTCAAGATGCTTATTTCTAATAGAATACTAAATGATAAGCTTCTTCAGAAAGCTTATTTACAATGGAGTACTAAATGAACATCCATAATATAATATATTTATAACAATAAGCTACATGAATTAAGTATGTTATGAGAATAAACTCCCATTTCTTTGAGCGCATCTTCCTAAATTAATACTAAATCTTTTTTTTTTTTGTGACATTCGTTCACCAAACAAAATGCACAGTGCCCTTGTTCTTGAGCCGAATCAGCCGATGGTCTATCGGAAATAATTTCTTTATCCTCACAAGGTAGGGGTAAGGTCTGCGTACACACTACCTTCCTCAAATCCTATAGTGTGGGATAATACTGGATTTGTTGTTGTGGTTGTTGTTGTTGTTGTATGCCCTTGTTATACTAGATCTTTCTTTTTAATTTTCTCTTTTTGTTTAATTATTTCTTTTTTTTTCATCTTTAATTATTTACTCTGATATCCCCCAATATTTGGTTAATCTTGAAATTCCTTCCAGATTATTCAATAAACATATTTCTCTGTTCTATTTGTTATGATTAATTATGGAGAATTCTGATTTCATTTTTAAGAGTACGCCGTTAAATAGGAGCTTTCTCGCTAAACTAATGTTTTAGTTGGGTGGACGGATCTTCTTGTAAAACACTTTTGAGTGAGAGAGAGACATCTAAAGAGTCATAGTTCCAATTAAGCTTTGTGAAGGAACATAACTAATTCATCGATTGAGTTAGCAACTGGTATGTACCCTAAGGGTGTCAAACGGGTCGCGTTGACCCGATTTCGGACTAGTCCAAATCAATTTTAGACCAGACCGGTAGGTAGGGGGCCGGGCAGGATTGGGTTGGGACGGGGAAGGGATTGTGCCAAATAGGAGGCAAGTACTGGTTAACCCGACCGGTCAGAACTAGTACTGTCAAGTCAAGTTCGACCTGTTAACCGGACCAACCCGGAACGACCCGGACCGGTTCAACAACTATTTTAATTTTTTTTTAATTATAATTGACCGTTGGCAACGGTCAACTACCATTTTGACCATTGCCCAACGACTATTTTGTAAGAATGGCCCTTTTTGGGCATCTTTTTTAAAAATAATACTTTTAGTATTTATTAATTTAGCCCTTTGAAAAACTATAAATATATCCTTCCCTCCCCCGCCTTCTTCATTCTTCACTCATCTCTCAATTCTCAAACTCAAATTCTCAAATGTTATTTTCTCATTTTTTTTACCTAAATTGCAATCAAGTATTTGGCTCTAATTTTTTATATTTATGATATTATTTGAAGCTTGAATTTTGGGCAATTGACGTTTATCGTGGTAACATCGGAGTTGCAAAATTCAATTTTAAGACTTTAAAAATCATCAAGTGTTCAATTTATTGCGGATTTTGGTGCGCTCGTTCCAACTCTTTCTCTTATTTAGGACCCGTTTGGCCATATATTTTATCAAAATATATTTGGGTTTTTTTCTTGACAAATACATGTTTGGCCATAGATTTTATTACATTTTGGCAAATTCCCAAAACGCAAAACCCAAATCTCGAAACTAGCTCAAGAGCTGGTTTTGGCCCAAAATATCACTATTACATTATTAAAAAATTATCCCAAACTTTTGTATTTTATAAAAGAGCCCACCATTTATTATTTTGTAATAATGGTGCTTCGTCTTCTCGGTCATCTGATAGTGTATTATGTAGTTCATTATAAAAATAATAATTTTGTACCAAATTTATTAGTGGTTAAATTTTCACAATATGTTTAATGCTTCAAAAATAGTTTATAATAGGGTTGCTAATCGGGGTAATAAAAAAAAATAGAAAAAGAGGTACTGCTTCAACTTCTAGTAGTAATTTAAATGACTTTACACATTTCTGAAATATCACATGAGAATAATATAGATTATGAACAATTACATGAAGATTTCGGTATAAAAGATAATGAATTAGAAATTGAAGATGAGACACTACTTGCATATAGTATTGTTGGAGTTGGTAGCAGAGGTGGTGGTCGTGACACTAGTAGTAGACCACATGTGACCCCGACTACTAATCGGGGAAGGAGAAGTAAAGTTTGAAAATATTTTAAGGAAATAGAGAATTCTAATAGAGTTATATGCAAATTTTGTAAAGATGATTTTAAACATAAGACCGGAGGAAGTTTAGGAGAGACTGAGACACTTAGTAGACATATGAGAATTACTCATCCTATAGAATGAGACTCTGATTTAGATGAAAATCAAGAAATTATAAACCTATGAAATATGATAAAATAAATGATCGTGAGGAATTAGCAAAAATGATTGTTTTTGGTTGTTTACCTTTTTCTTTTGCTTTTTCATCATATCTTATTATGTATATTCAAAGGATTTATAATCTTTTATTTAAAGATATCCCTAGAAATATTTATAAATCTGATATCTTTAGACTTCATAGACAATATCAGACATACATGCGTTATTTGTTTGACTACCTTCCTTGTAGAGTTTCTCTAACTTCTGATATTGGCCATACTGTTAATGAAAATGATTATTTGACAATTACATATCATTGGATAAATGATAATTATTGTATGCAAAAACGTATCATCGCTTTTAAATATGATGAAGATCAAAGTCATGCTGCTATTTTTATAAGTACTACTATTTGCGAAGTTGTTGCATTATACAATCTTAATAAAAAAAGTATTGTGTATGTCTTTTGATAATGTTTCTAACAATAATGCCGCTATTTCAATATTAAGACTGCATTTACAACCACCACTTAACGAAATTTTTCATGTTAGGTGTGCATGTTATGTTTATAATTTAATTGTTAAAAGTGGCCTTAATTTATTTTCGACTGAGATTACTCATGTAAGAAGAGCAGTTGGTGTTATTCAAGGAAATAATAGACATTCTAGAACTAGGGAATTTAAGACTAAGTGTGTTGAACATAACCTTAACCCCAGATTCATGCCAGATGAAATTGTTACTAGATGGAATTATACATACTTATTTTAAAATGTTGCTACAAATATAGATTGCCGATAACTGAAGTTGCTAATGTACATTGTTAACACATGGTAACCCGTCACTCATTGGGAAGCAATGCTTTGGATGTTTTAGTATGTTTCAGAGATTGTATTAAATCGGAACGAAGAAAGCAAGGACATGAAGATGTTGCTAAACCAGAAGACGAGGAACTTGGAGATATATTAACACATGGTAACCCATCTGAATTTAACACTCCACAGAAGATGGCAAAGAAGTTCATATTGATTATGAAGAACTTACTAAGGCAATGCAAAACCTTTGAAGTTCTTGATTTATATCTAATAATTCTAATTTGAATTTACTCTTTTTTTCTTTAATTTAGTTGTTGTAAAATGTAGATTTTAATTTGCAAGTTTGAATTAAAAAAAGAACTTGCAAATTATAAGTTAATTTTTTTCCATCTTTATTGTATTACCTTAAATTCTTAATAAAATATTCAAATATTAGGCTTTTAAAGTCTTTGAAGTTTTTTTTTTTCAAAATTCCAAATGTAAGGCTTTTAAAGCCTTTGAAATTTATTCAAACACTCTTTTTACAAGATTGCTTTTATGTTTTATATTTTTACTTTATCTTAATATAAATTACGATAGTTATACAAAATACACAAAAATAAAAAAATAAAATCGGCCCAGCCAGACCCCTAGGCCCGGAACCATTCCAGTTTACATTTTCACCAGCGAGGCACGGAACCGATAAAACCGGTATTTTGAAACTAATAACCGGACCAGTACGAAGACCGGCCAGTCTCCTTTTCCAATAGTCCGGCCGGCCCCTTGACACCCATATTGTACCCTAACAATATTAAATTTCTGAATGCAGATTTATCTTTTCGGTCAAAGGACAAATTAAAGAAAAAAGAAGAGAGATCCAGTCAAAAGTTACCAAGACAGTACTACTACTTAATAAGATGCTAGATCATATGCACTAGTATCCTGAATGGATAAGCAATATAGCATAAATAATGCAAGGCAAAACTGAGTAATAAACTTTGGCAAGAAATATCGCCTGAAAATTCTGTTTAGAAATTTGAGCTAGAGACAAAATTAACTCCAACAAAATCACCAAAGTGATGTGGTGAGCGGTCGGTATCCCTCCATCTTGACAAGAGATCTCAGATTCCAGAGAACGCAGAATCTCTTAGCAGGGAATGAAACCAAATTAGTCGGGCTAGTGAGTTCGGAGGCCAAATGCCTATAGACAAAAGAAATAATACGGATAAAGATCAATAAGAACTTGATGTCGGAACAACTTCAGTGAAGACATACTAAATTTCACACCTTCAACTTGAATGAATGATTCAGTTCTTCACCAACTCCTGCCTACGAGCATTGCATTAAAATATGCTAGCTGCCTGCCTCCTCTCTAGCAGTCAAATTTTGAAATGTTCCCATATCTTTATCATAACATATTGCATAGTGAATGTGTATATCTCTTTCTGGTGATGCATTAGACTTCGTCTATAAATTTGACTTTTGTTCTAGGGGATGCCCTCTGAAATTCATTAATCTGTTTCAGTATCTCAACTAATGTTTGAGGAGATTCAGGCTCTATGCAAGGCTCAATTAGCATAGTCTCCAACTTCAGAGACTTGGCCAACAGAAGCTTGATCAGTTCCATCTCAGGCTTTGTGCCACTAATTTCTTTCAAGCAAACTTTGGTAAGCTGATTCAACTTCATGTCTGAATGGTATTCAGCTTCCAAATATTCAAGAACAGGAAGTTCATCTCCTTTGTCATTAAATGCCTGAGGAAATATTACAAAATGAGGAAACAACAACATAATCTGGAACATACAAAAAGAGGAAATAAAAGAAAAAGGAGAAAATAAGCCAAGATAGTTATTTCAGACCTCCATTCCAATTTTTTCCAAATATGGGGAGCTTCTAATCAAGCAAAAAAGACAGCGTATATCATTTAACTCGCTTATACGAATCTCGCATAGGTAAAGCTGTCTAAGACAGAGAAGAAGCATGGGAAGCCTCACCGGGATTTCATCTATTCCTGCAATTAGTGTCTTCCAAGGCAAATATTAAAGTCAGGACAGCAGAGACATGATATGTCAACGAACATAAATAATATTAGTTCTAGACACTTTTACCTTGATAATAAAATAATCCAAGTTGAGATCCTTAAGAGCAGGCAAGGAACCAAAAAACTCCATAAAATTACATTTTCCTCTCTCCACAGAACCATTATTTATATCTTGCATCACAATATAAACATAATCAAGAAGAGGGGTATTCTTGAAACATACAGAATTTATTTTGGTCCCGAAGTAGAAGTATCTTATTTGAGGAGCATTAACTTCAATAGAGTTCAAAGGGACTGAGATTTCAAGCTCCACATGCTCGAGCTTTGGGCAACAGGATATTAAATTCTCAAGAGATTTGTCAGAAATAGTGACTTCATACAATTCCAGGGTAAGAAGCCTACTAAATGCTTCAAATGCAGGTGGAAGATTGATCAAACAATATTTGAGAGTCAAATGCCTCATGTGTGAACATGTGAAAACTGAAGAGGGCAATTTGTACTTTTCACCCTTCGGAAATTTAAAATCGAGATGCTCGATCCCATTCCTTGACAGGAAAAATATCAAGTTGTCAATTTCAGGGCAGTCTTTCAGATCAGAAATGGAGACTCCACACTCAGTAATTGGTCCTTGATGAAGTGACAAGAGCTGAAAGAGAATCACTGCAAACTTAACTCTAGGGGTTGATATATTCTGCTTGGTTTTTTTCCAGAGTCTGCTATCAAGCGTTAATTTTGGAACTTTGGTCCAGTTATACCTCCATTTCCTCGACAAGATACTAGTCCTAACAGCATCTCGCAGAGGCAAACACGTCAAAATGAACTTAATTACATCGTGAGGAAGGTTGCTTATGATATCAGAAGGTTCTCGGCCTGACACTTTCATGATCTTCGTTTCCATCATTTTAGAGAATCGATAGAAGAGTCTGGAGACAACAGAAGACATAAAAATCCAGCAAAAAACTTGAAATCATATTGGAAAAACATGCTGCAACTGTGAGAAGTTAGCAGGAGATCAACCAAGAGAAAACAATCAAATGATTAATGGCTCAGAAACAAATGATTAGTTAATACAGTGGCACTACTCATTTCTTTTGATCATGTCAATACACGACCCTTTCCATAACAGTTTACGAGACTAGTTGTATCAAATGATTAATGGCTCAGAAACAAAGAAAAACAAACTATTTACATATAATGCTTTCCAGATGATAAACTAATATATTAAACTTATCAATTAGCATCGAACTGCACACATAGATGAGGCGAAGAATTGAGCCAAACATTTTATTGTAATACCAAATTAAAGAATTAGCTTTAAAAAATTTTGTTCACTTTTAGGTGCTCTTACCGATATACTGCTAATGCCTGATTCATATTTACACCATCTATCCCACATAAAATAATACACGTCAGGACCGTTTGGTTTGAATTTTAAGAGATATAATCTCCACATATAAATCAGCATAAGCTTATATAATGTTTGGTTGGAATATTAAGGAGATATAATCTCCACATAGAAATCAGTACTAATTAATACAATGTTTTGTTGCTCCTTTTTGTTTTCCTCATAAATAATACCTACATTAAGTTATGTGAGATAGAATAGCGGAACAGGAGTGGAGTTACTAGTATACATGGACTAAAAAGATAAAATGACCAAACACTCATAAAAGTAAGAACTTTTTGTTTTGTTTTAAAAAATAAATAAATATTTTAAATTATACATTGTATACTAATATGTAGTAATATATCAAACTAGACATTCAACAAGAAATCATACTTGCATTATACGAGCCTTATATTACAATCCATGCATTGGAATCCTTGCATTAGTAATCGCAACATAACTTGTCTTTAAACCAAACGATCCCCATAGTGCATAAATTCCCACACAAAATTTATACTGAAAAATAATAGGCCAAACCAAACAAGCCTTAGTCTCAAATGTAGTATTTAGTCCTAAAACTGCAAAATTCAACCTACAATTGCTAGTAGAGAATCATTTTCATACTGTGTTAGATTATAGGAAACTTTTAAAAAAATTAAGAGTACCTCAGAAACCTTCAGTTCATAATGATACAATTGCTTGAAGTTGAAATTCAACATATGGAATGCAGTAATTCAAAAGTATAATTAGAGAGAGAAAGAAAGAAAGGAAAACATCTATGTATTCACAAGGGAAAAAAAAAATACCAATTTTAATTCTGCCAGGGAGGGAACGTGAGGAGTTCGCTATGGGATGCGCAGACAAGGGTTTTTTCTTTAAGGCAGGACGCGGTATAAGTTGGCGCTCATTTGCTTGTTTTTCTTCGAGTCCGCTTGAGAAGAATTTGGGCTTGGGTCAAAGTAGGTGATTTACACACAAATAGGATATTTTTGTGCTGGTATTTTGATTTTGTCTCCGCCTTTGACAGGGGCGTCAATGGATATTTAAAAACCGACTAAAACGATCAAATCGTATCGAACTATATTTTAAGATTTTTTAAAAAAATCATAGGTTTTTTATATAAATTTATAACTGTACCGATAATTAGAGTAAGTTTTTTATTTTATAAAAATAATCCCGAAAAAATACTGAACCGTACTGAATAAATTTACAATGTTAAAAATATATTTATATATTAAGTTTAAAAATAATAAAGCATTACATTTTTCTCGGGCCTTGGAATTATGAAACAGTTACGAGCCAACAAGTAATTAAACTCAAAATCTTAATTCCCAAGCCTTTTATGCTATTCCTATTGAAACTAAATTATTTCCAGCATATTCATTAGCAAAACACAATGTATTGTAGTGATTATGAGTAGCAAAGTACAATGTATTGAATATGTTTCCTTTCGTATGATTTAGATTTATCTTTTTGAATATTTAATTTTCCATAGACTTTATTCTTGAATCACAGCCTGGTTAATATCTTTCCACTCGTTTGATTAATATTTTCTTTATATTTGCTTAGTTTCTTTTACGTTGTTATAGAATAGTTGATCGATCTATACTCTAGCTATCTTTCATATTTTCTTAATTCGTCACCTTTTAAACTATAAAAATATCTAGAGCGTTTTGCTAAGTCCTATAAAAGTAAGTATGTTATTGCATTCTACTTATACTGGTGACTTTTACATAACATTTAAAAAATTACCGAAAATTAATCGAATCGTACCAATACCGAAGAGAAGCAGACATGATTGGGATGGTTTCGAAAAGTCTAATTTTGGTCATACATAATAGAATAACCAAAAAATTGATGTAATACAAATTTTATAAAATAACCGGTCGAACCGGACCATTTACACCCCTAACTTTTGGTGTCTAATGGAATACTAAAATGGCCTTATTAAGGGTTTATTTGGTATCAAGAAAAATATTTTTCTTGGAGAAAACATTTTCTTGAAAAAGTAGGGGTGACACGAGAAAGCATGACCCACCCAACCGACTTAAGATTGGATGAAATATTTATAAATGATTCATTTTGACTCGCCCAATTCAACTTATATAAAATTTTGATTAATATGTAATCCAAATTAATCATAAGAAACTTTATCAAATAGTTTTTTAAAGAGAACTTTTTTCTTTTGGGTTTGATATGTCATGTATAGCTATAATAAATAAAAAAAGGTTTAGTTAATAAATTGTGTAAAACCTTTTTCTTTTTTCTTACTTTCTTTATTGTTTTCTGATGATTTATTTAATTGTCAAATAAAATTAATAAAACTTGATAAGAGTTTGGAGGATTAGTGATCACGCCCAACTATGCCTTATAAAAAGGATAAAGCGGTCGTTGCAAATATATTCCGGTTAACAAGTCCGGAGTTGAATCCCACAGGGAATTAACCTATCAAACACAGCTATTGGACTCACACAAATTCACATATTCAATCTTCAGAAATATATAAGTAATAAATTGGATGTTTACTAATTAAATATTACGTAATAAAAATGCAATAAATAAGAACTAACTACGAACATGTCGTAGACAGGAATTGGAATAATCTAAGGTTCTGATTTTCTCTATTGTCGGAATCCTTTCCGCTACGTTTCCTATAAATTTGCCTAAGTCTTCTCTATCGATCATGAGCATTCTGACTGTTGTAACTCACTTCCGAGTAATTACAACAATATACTAGATATATTCTCCCGAATTACGCTAGCTAGCCTTAAGTACATCTCACTTAGATCGCACCAAGGTTTCGTTATCCCTAATCCCACCTTTAAACCCTTCATATTGATCCCTCATATACGTTAGGAGTGATGTTGTTCAACAACTACCTAAATATGCACTCTCTCCCGAGTAATACATACTAAATAGGAATAGTTAATCGAGGGCCCTTCATCAACAGCAATAAATATATAGTTGAACAAATAGAGAGAATACTATGGTAAATCTATATTAACGCAACAAGAAAATCATCTTCCAACATGTTTCATCAAAACCTTAGATTAGGAGTTTAGCTACTCATACTCATAATAACAATATCCAAAGTATTTTACATAATTAAATTATAGAGTAAGGATAAAGGGACGTAGAAATCGATGATTCTAACTCCCAAGTAGTGTTCCACGAGCTATCCTTGCCTCTGGTTGCAAAAAGTCCTTCAAAATGGTATTTTGGGTCTATTTATATGTTTAGGACAAGACCTAAACGTGTAGGTCAAATCCTAGTCAAGCCGGAAAACGAATTAAGTCTTCAAAACTCGGACTAGACCTAGCCCCAGGCCTGGCGTCGCCAGCCTAACGCCTGGTTCTGCTTGGCTTTATCTTGGCGTCGCCAGCCTAACACCAGCTTCAAGCCTGGCTTTTGCCTTGCTTCGCCTGCCTAACTGTTTACCGTAAAAATGTTAATAACAATTAAATTTATAAATGAGACTCTAAAAATACGTGATCTATTTTTATGCTAGTGGTTAGAGCAGTAGATGCTAAATATGTGAAGTTTAATCGAAGAAATACAAGCTAAAATGGGGCAGTAATCAAACTGAGGGGCTTGCTACCCGAGCCTCGGACTAGCCGATGAGGGGCCTCGAGGTCAATGCCTGGGCTCGAGTTCGCCCCGTCGGGGATAATCGGGAAGGAAATAACAGTTAGGATATAATTAAAGAAGGCTCATTATGGCCAATATCAAGCAATAAAAGAACACGTATGAAAGAAATAAAAAATAAGTAGCCTCGGGCGAGCAAGTTAGAGAGAAAAAAGAGAGAGAGAGAGAGAATTGTTATTGATCTTGTGTAGAGTAGTTGGAGTAACAGCAGCCCCTTACAAAGTGGTGAGGATCCCCTTTATATAGGAGGAAAAATACAATATAGTACAGAATGCATTAATTGTAAAGACATAGGGATAGGACGGCTAGACACGACGCCTCGATACATGCTCTAGGTAGGCCGGCTCTGTCAGACTTAGCCGTGTGCCTTGATAATTCCCCATTTTGCTCTAGCCTCGATTTTCGTCTTCTTTGAGTCGGGCCTCGACGAGCCTCGAGGGAGGGAACTCGGTCGCAACTCGACGTCTTCGAGGTCTTGAGACATTCTTCTGAAGTGACTTGATAGCAAGAAATTAGGCCCTCTGATTTTGCTGCATACAGATAGTCTCCGCGTTTCTCAGAACGAAACGATGGGAAATGACTCTGAAACCCGACTCCTCGAGCTTCTCGTGACGACGTCATACCGATAACACAACCTATGGAGTGAGTTTTTGAGATAACCGAGACATCTCATGGACTTGTGTTTTTGACATCATTCAATGCACTATCGATTACTGTTCTCCAAGGTGAAAGTACCGCTGTCGATTCGGTTCTTCAAGAACGCAGTAGTTGCGTCCGCCGGTTAGTCTTCCAAAGGCCTTGATGACCGTGTCGTTATCTCCTATAAATGGGGGCGTTCTGGCGTTGTTTTTCTATCCAAGTGCCTTCATCTTCCCATTCGCCCTTTTCTCTTTATCATCTTCCTCTATTGTTTATCACCATGTTTGGAGTCTACAGCCTTGAGATTGTTTGGCATATTCCGATAGGCCGTGTCATGGCCCTTTGCCTGAGCTCCTATTTGCTGAGCACGACTATGCCGTCCTATCGCAGTTGTGGTTGTTGTTACGTCTACTGTCGTTGTCCCTATTAGCTCGAGATGATGACAGACGGGAAATTGATTCTTCCCTTTTTTAGAAAGTCATTCGGACTATGCACCGCTGCTCACTCTTCTACCCTGGCCTGGTGTGGCACTTCATCCCTTGGGTTTTTTCTTTCCCGAGGGATAAAATGGCACCACCGGTCGTTGAGGCTGGGGCCCGCCGAATCTTCAACCTTTGGCTTCGGTGGACTATGTCTCTTTTCTCTGCCTCCTTTGCATCCCCTCCTTTTCCTATTCTTCATCTTTTGCCTCGGTGAGGGTTTCCCGCGAGATTGAGCTGGGAACCTAGAAGAGATGGCGGTCAAAGGAATTGCCTTCGAGGATGCGAGCTCGAGGGGGCAACGCTCGAAGATGCTAATACCGGAGATGGACCTTCGAGGATGGACTAGGTTCTTAGGTTTTCACTATGGGTGTATACCCTTTTGTTTCTTTGTTTCTGTGTAAGGACCCCTTACGGGCTTTTGTGATTGTATGTAAGGACCCCCCGAGGGCCGTTGTAGCCAATATTTATGAAATATGAAGACATCTACTTTACTTCTGCTTTTGATTTTTGCCACGTTCTTGTATACTCTTATGCGTTCGAGGAGATTTTGAATGTATGCCTCTGTTGACGATCATCAATATTTTTTCCTGCCTTTGATTGACAGAAATGGCTCCTTTTCGAGCTCATCGTTGTTCCCGGAATCAAGATTGAAGCGGTCCGGTAAACTTGGATCATCAGGGCCCTCGAGCCTCGTAGAGATAGAGCACCGAAGTGAAAGTCAACTTCGGGCACTTGGAGCTTTTACTTTAAGCTTGACGTAGATAACCTTTTTAGTTGTTGTAGGCAGGCTTCTGAGGAGGGGCTATTCGTACTTAGGTGACTTCCTAAGGTCGAGCCCTCGTGGATGAAGCTCTAAGTGCTATTTTTCTTCTTGAGGGAAAACTTTGAGGTCGGGTACCACCTCGGGATCCGTACCGAGGCCGTTGGCCTCCCGGGGCTTATCCTAGGTAGGCTAATCATTGATGTTTCCCACATATACATGGGATGGCTCTTGCTTCTTTGGAAGATCCCATTATTTTAGATAGCTATCCTTC